AGCCACTTCCGTCACTCAGTGGACACCAGCCTACGTCATGTCACAGGTGGGATTTCAGCCTATCTCCCTCTAGATCCCCTCCGACCACTTCCCTCCCTCATCTCTTTCAAGGTCCATCTCAAGAACTACCTCTTTGACCGCACTTTCAATCTTTCTCCTCCTCTTTGCCCACCTCCAGCTCAGGTGCCAAACCAGGCTTGTTAAATGCCTTGGGATGTCCCCTTGACATCCTCAAATCTATCTCTTCCACTTCCGCCCACCTTTCCGTGCTCCCCTCAACACCACCATCAACTCATGCTCCCAGATATTTGTATGAAGCTTCAAGACATCCACTTCACCCTGAAAAATGCTGTATAAATATAAATATTAGTAGTTGCTGTGGATAAAATAATAATCCTGGTATTTGATACAGCGCCTTATCACGTTGTTGAAACGTCTCAAAGTGCTTCACAGAATATACTGTAAAGTGTAGTGACTGTATATTTTGTGGATTCGCCCACAAACCTAAGCTTCGCTTGCTACGCGACATGACTACAATTGCAGTTGCTGTGGATATAAGAGAATAAGAATCCTGATAAGCTATTTTGGTTTAATAATAACATATATAGAGTGCAGTCCTATAGCTCAATGGTTAGAGCACTCACCTCACAAGCGAGAGACCAGGGTTCAATTCCCGGGCAGCGCGAAACCTTGGCCAAGTTTCCTTACTCCACACGCCTCTGTTTGTCAGCAGTCAGTAGGAACTCAATTGTCAGTCGATTGGTGAATCACTTTTCCGGGGATAATAATCCCTCAAAAAACAATAATAATTTGGTCAATCAACCCACGACTGTTTGTGGGGACGCTGCTGTGCGCAATTGGCTGCAGCGTTTTGCCCACAAATATACAGTCACTCCACTTTACAGTGTAATCTGTGAAGCGCTTTGAGACATCTAGAAGACGTGATAAGGCGCTGTATCAAATCCAAGCATTAATATAGTATTGAAAATGTTCACAAGAAACAATTGTTTTCTTTTCAGAATTCCACGTTCAGGACAAGGTCAATGCATCGAAGTCCAAGACCTGCAGGAGGTGCACTTTAGGTGTAAGAACCACCAATTTTACCCGGCGGCAATAAAGACCCAGTGATGGGGGACAGGCAATTTGTGTTTGGGTATTGAAATATTCCAACATCCCAGCTTTTTAACAAATATTGAAAAACAATGTTTTATTTCAATCGGTGCCTTGATACAGCAGCCATCAGACCTGGGCTCCCCTCTGTGGCTCTCACAACAACAACTTACACGGCATGTCAGGACGTCTGGGCAGTCACGGATTTGGACCCGAGCTGGAGGTTGGGATTAGGAGGGGTGGACAACAGGAAGAGTGGGGGGTAGGTGGGTGACGAAGATGCGGTCGAAGAAGAGGGTCTTGAGACGGAAGAAAGGAAAAACTGTCTAACAGGCCCTGAATCAAATGCAAGTATTATAATTATTATTATCTGCTCCCGAACAGTCTCAAACCACTTTGTCAGCTCATTCCAATACTTATACATCTCATATAGAAATGGGTTTTCCAGCTGAAGCTCATAGCTAACAACCACCAAGTGTGTGTATATGTGTGTATTAAAGGGACAGTGGCAGCGGATACAGAACTGTCTGGGAGACAGAGAGCAGAGAGTGGTGATGAATGGCTGTTTTTCTGACTGGAGGGCAGTGCAGTGGTGTCCCCCCGGGGTCGGTATTGGGGCCACTGCTGTTTGTGATCTATATAAATGACCTGGACTTGGGATAGGGAGGACAATTCCCAAGTTTGCAGATGATACTAAGCGAGAAAAGGTAGTAAACAGTGAGGAGGATAGTAACAGACGGCAGGAGGACATAGACAGACTGGTAACATGGGCAGACACGGGGCAGATGAGGTTCAATGGGGAGAAAAGCAAAATGGTGCATTTTGTGAGGAAGAATGAGGAGAGACAATATAAACCGATGGTACAATCCTAAAGGGGGTGAAGGGACAGAGAGACCTGGGGGTCATATAGTAAACCTTTGAAGGTGGCGGACAGGCAGATAAAGCTGTTAAAAAGCATCCGGGACACGAGGCTTTATAAATAGGCCATAGAATACACGAGTCAGGAAGTTATGATGAACCTTTATATAAAACACTGGTGGGGCCTCAGCGAGAGACTGTGTTCAGTTTCAGGAGTGAGGTTGAATTGGAAGCTCTTTTCAGAAAGCAGCACAGACACGATGGGCCGAATGGCCTCCTTCTGTGCTGTGTAATTCTATGGTGTTATGTATGTGTGGGCTGGACGCCAAGGCTCGCCTGTTGTGATTGTCTGTGTGTATTTATGAGTGTCTCGTCTCTCTGTGACTCTCCACGTCTATGTGTGTGTCGCATGTCTCTCTGTGTAAGTGTGTGTGTGTCTGTGTGAGTATGTGAGTGTTTTGTTTGAGTCTGAACTGCCCTTTCTCCCCCACATCCACGTCATGACCAGTACTGCCTACCACCAGTCCCTTCCCCTCACTTCCTCCCTCGCCTCCTTCAAGGCCGGTCTCAAGACCCTTTTCTTCGACCGTGCCTTTGGTCTCCCTCCCACCTCTCTGCCGGGGCCTATGAGAAGCAATGCTGGGTGTGTCTCATGTCGCTGTCTGATGGTCGTTATCCGGTATGTCCTGATGTGACGAGGATCACCGTACAAGTCTGGTTGGTTTAATGACTTTACACTCATGTTGTTTTGTGCTGTTGTTTCTGTTATATGTTTGTTATATTTGATCCCATTGTTGTTTATCTTACATTGTTGTTATATGAAATGTGGCCGCGGATCACTGAGGTCTTAATAAACCGCTGTTGTTGTTACCGATTGTATCCTCGAGCCTCTGTGACATTCAAACACAGTAAGAGAGTCGCTGTCCACACCGGAGTTCTGGAAGACTGCGATTTGTTATCCCGTTACCAGGCATCGGAGTTATCCGGGAATACCTGTGAGTGACTTAATCCTGATTCGGATGAGCCACCTTTGAGCAGGGACTCACACTGACCGGGTCAGAAAAGAGCAGAAACCACTTAGTACGTCGGCATCACTAAAATTCACAACTACAACAAGAAGTGAGAACCGTCGCCATGTGTGTGTGTCTCTCTCCGTGTGTAAGTCTGCGTGTGTCTGTGTGTATCTCTCTGTGTGAGTGTGTGTGGGTCTCAGGGTCTGGGTGCAGTGTGGGGCCCTGAGAGAGAGGCAGGAGGTGGTGAGCTCCTGTCAGGAATTCTGCAGTCAGGACACTGGCGAGCTTGTGGAGCAACGCTGTTTTTTGGTGGATCTCCATTCTTTTGGGGCCTGAGATGGTGTGTGTCGCCCTCACCCCAACCGCCCGGGGCAGGGTGAAGGCCAGGGGGGGACAGGCGGCGGGGGGGGGGAGGGTGGGTCGTGGTGGTGCAGGGTACAGGCCGGACGATGCCCAATTTCTGCACGGCTCCTAACTGCAGCTGAGCCAGCAGTGGCTCCCCGAGCTGCCCTTCTCCAGGTCCCCCAGAGCCCGACAGGTGAGATGGGGAGACAGGCCACACATTATATATACAGTATATATTATATATATTTAGTTACATACAGTAAAATACCCACAACCCGCAGTGGGGGAGTCTTGCCCAGCAAAGCCAGACCTGAGCCTTCATGTCCATCCCATATCCTTCTAGGCCTCACACCTTCCTTTGTTTTTTTTGTAAGTATGTTTTTGTGTATGTGTGTAATATATAATGGTTAAAACACTCGCTTTGCAAGCGAGAAACCTGGGTTTGATTCCCGGCAGGGAGGGGATGAAACCTTGGGCAGGATTCCTTACTCCACACATCTGATAATAATGCCTCAAGAAAAAAAAATAATAAATTGTTCACTTCAATTTGTGGGACACTGCTGTGCGCAATTGGCTGCCGCTTTTCGCCCACAAATATACAGTCAATCCACTTTACAGTATATTCTGTGAAGCACTTTGAGAAGTCGAAAAGATGTGAAAAAGCGCTATATCAAATGCCACGATATTATAAGGATTATTATTACAGTATATCTTATAAAACCACAATGTCTGTGTGTCAGCCAAGATCTCAATAACCAATTGACGTAGAGACATAATTTATACCTCTTTGGCCAGGCCTTTATTTTGGGAGTGTCAAGGGCATATTTTTTCAGGGATCTCCTATCGTTGTTGAGTTATGACCTGAACAATCTCATCACCATATTTGTCAGTTTTGCTTTTGCGTTGCAGTTACACCTTGTGGCCACACCGACTCCCACTGACACTGTGGCATCGTGTATCACAGAGCACGTACGCACACAGCCAGACGAAGCCACGCAGCGGGTACAAGATAAAGATGTCTAAGTGCATTTCACCCACAAATGTACAGTCAATTCCCTTCACAGTCTATTCTGTGAAGCGCTTTGAGACGTCTCGAAGATGTGATAAGGCGCTGAATCAAATGCAAAGATTATTATTATTATTATTATTATTATAGAGCCTGATCTCATGGTTCAGACATCTAAAAGCGCTTTGCAGGATATACTGTAAAGTGTAGTGACTGTATTTTGTGGGCAAAATGCAGTAGCCAATTGTGCACAGCAATTTTGAAAGAAAAACAATAAATTTGAAAGAAAAACGATTGGGATTAAACTAAAAATGGATTCCTCAGTTTGCATTGAACAGCGATCAGTTGAATAAACCCTGTCTAGTTTCCCTCACTCGTCTGTCTGTCCTGTAGGACTGAGGTCAATTACACCCACTCCAGCTGCTGCCTCAACCGAGCTAGAAAGCAAAAGCCCACAACACAACCTGACAACCACACTCACAGAAACTGTATGGAAACAGAAAGACAACAACAACAAGGAGTTGCCTTCATTTCACTTAACACATTACTTTGTGTAAGTCATATTAAATGTTGTGTTCCCAACTGATAACCACTTGTGTGAGCTTTACTGTTGACAACATCAGACAGAGGAGGAAACCAAAATAAAGAGGAATGATTAGAGTCCAGAATGGGTTATAAAAAGGGAACCACCATAACATTTTAATCTCCTTACCCTCTGAATTAACCATCTTGGGAAAGAACGAACAGGACTCCTTAAGAGTTGGCCACAAGATTAAAACAATGAGCATGATATTATGAACAACAGCTGAAAGTATGACAACAAAATGCTTTACTTTACTGCAACTTCTGAACTATTTACATTACTTACACCAGGAACGGGCGTTTCTGAATTGTTCACGTCTGTACTGTTCACAGCCGGACTGTTACCCCCCAAAGTGTCTGTGGTGTGTTTGTCCACACCCTGGGAGCTCATGCCCTCGATGTCTGCCTCTATAGGGAGGTTCTCCGGCTTTTGCTCGCACTCTATAGCTTCCTCAGAGTGATAGGCGTCCGGCTGAACAGCGTCCCCTGTCACACGGGTCTCCTGATTAACGCAGTCTTCTATTGCTTGAGGGTCCAGTGTAACAGTGCCTTCAGTGGAATAGGTGTCCAGGGTATCTCTGTCCCTCACACAAGTGTCTGGATTAATAGTATCCCCTGCCAGGCAGATGTCCGGGGTAACTGTGCCACCCTCCACACAAGCGTCCGGGGTAACTGTGCCACTCTCCACACAAGTGTCCGGGGTAACTGTGCCCCCCCCCTCCACATAAGTGTCTGGGTTAACAGTATCCCCTGCCGTGTATGTGTCTGGGGTAACTGTGTCACCCGTCACACAAGTGTCTGAGTTAACAGTAACAACTCCACACAGGTGTCGGGAGTAACAGTGCCCTCCAGCACACAGGTGTCCAGGGTAGCAGTTTCCACCATCTGTCCCACTAGGTGGTGCTGTAGCCCCCCATCCCTGGACACGCCCACGCTGTGTGCCTCCGCCTGGCTCCCCAAGTGCTCAGACACAGCCAGGCCGCTCCCCTCGCCACTCTCCACCTCGCTCTCCGCCTGTTCACCAGACGCCTCCACCACACACATTGCAGTTGGAGTGGGAGAACCCACAGCGCCTCCTGCGGGACGTGGGCTCACCTCCACCTCACTCTCCACTGTTGACCAGTTGCTCCCTCCATGCTCTCCACCCCCTGGGCAGCTCCGTACTGGTGACACTCTTGGCTTCTGACTGGCCTCCAGCTGGTCTCCGCCCTCTACCTCCATGCCCTATCGCCCATGGCCACCTCCATCTCCCCGCTGTCCTGATCGCAGGCCTCCAGGAAGTCCAGCACATTAGGCAATTGCATCTTCTCCGGGTACAGCTTGGCGAAGGTGTCCACCATCATGTCAAAGTCGTGCTTGGCATCATAGTTGATGTGCATGAGGGCCAGGCTGCTGGCTCTCTCCTCCACGGGTGTGGCCTTGAGGTAGGCCTTCAGCCGTCTGCGCCCCACCTCGCTCCTCTCACTGCCCACCTTGATGATGGGCAGGTTACACACGATCTTCAGCAGCGTGTAAACATTGGGGAAGAACTTGATGTCCGGATGCTGCAGAGTGTCAAATACCGTATTTGGCAGCTCCACATCCCGGCTCCTGTGCTTCCACTTGATCCTCCAACAGTGAAGCTCGGCAGAGAGTGTGTCTGGGTTGGGGAGGTCATCCTTGTAAAGATTGGCTGTGATTTCCACTGTGGTGTTGTAATTGAGTTGGGCCATGACAGAGGGCACCAGTGACAGACACTTGAGGGCTTTCAGCTGCTCCTCACAGAACATGCCCTTGACCTCCGCAATCACGTAGTCCAAGCAGGGAGTGGTCAGGGCCTCCCTGTAATAGTGATCGGGCGACTCCTCGGACGACCCCTCGGTAGCCTGCCCAAGGCAGCGTCTGGGGGCCTTCATCTCGATGGCCATCTTGTGGGCCAGGTGTGTGGCTTCCTCCAGCCAGAACTCGTGGTAAACATCCAGATTCTCCCTCATCTCGTTCAGTGAGTGCAGCACAGCTGTCAGGGTGCCCGAGGCAAAGTAGGTGTCTGCGGCATGGCCCTGCAGGTTCTTACCAAAGGCCCTGGTGTAGCCCAGCACGTTCTTCATCACCACCAGACACATGACCATCTCGAAGTCCCTCATGGTGGAGGACAGCATGCTGGCCTGTGTCACCATGTAAGCACTCCACTTGCCACAGATGTTGTAACTCACGCCGTCCAGGCAGGTCACCAGCACGTCATACAGATCAGTCAGGATCTCGAAGGTGTCGTGTCTCTCTGTCCAGCTGCCCTGACACACACTCTTCAGCTCCTTGGCTCTCTCGGCTGTGGTCTGGAAGGCCACATCAATGCTGGCCTCCAGGGCTGTCTGAAGCTGGGAGGAGAGGCTAAAGAAGGCCTGGACACTGTCCATCAGGCTCAGCACCATGGTGACACTGAATATGGGGGTGGACTTGGCGATCCAGATGTTCAGGGGGTAGGAAGAGCAGGACGTACACAGTGCCTTGGGATACTGCTGCAAGATCTTGCTGGCCAGCGCGTGCTTCTTGTAAAACATGGAGCCCGAACCATTGTACGCTTGGCCCCTGCAGTTGTCCATGTTCAGCCCCCATTTCTCCGTCAGGGTCTCCTGCAGCCGGTCAGCCAGGGCTTCCCCCTCAAGCTCACACTGTACAAACCCCAGGAACTCTTCCCTCAGGCAGTCCATGTTGTCCACAAAGCGCACGTGGAGAGACACGTGGTCCAGGCCCGAGATGTCCACCACCTCGTCCGTCACGATGGAGAAGAAGTTTTCCCTCATCTCCCGTAGCACCTCCTTCCGGATGCACATCTCACAGATGGCCAACAGGTCTCTTTGCAGGTTTTTGGGGCAATACTCCGTGTACTCGGCCATGGTTTCAAACCGCTTCCTGAGGATCTCGTCACCAGCATTCATCCTGAACTCCAGCAAGGCGCGGATGTTATTGGGGGCGCAGCAGGGGCTGGCTGTGTCCTCACTGCTGCACCCCCCCAGAGGCACGTTTTGCCTGCCCAGCAGCAGCACTGTTTCGAACAAGACTTTGAGAAACTCTTTGTTCCCTTTCTCTTCGGGGTTAGATTCAAAGACGTGTCCTGAGGGAGCAACTCCTCCCACTTCTCTGCCGGGCTCTCATGGCCGCCTTTGTCCCCGTTGGCTTGGTTGGCGTCCTGTATGCACTGCAGGCCCCTTAACACATCAGCATCATCTGGACCAGGAGAGAGAACGGCTGTACTGAAAACCTATTATAATAATCCTTACATCTGATGTAGGCCCTTATCACATCCTTGAGACGTCTCAAAGCGCTTCACAGTTTATACTGTAAAGTGCAGTGACTGCGTATTCTGTGGGCGAAACACGGCAGCCAAATCATGGATTGAGAGACCAAATTATTATTATTTTTTTTTGAAGGGATTAATACCCTTTAGAAAGTGATTATAGTGGGTATCTCCTGGACCAAAGGCTGTGAGGGAACTTTTTTAAAAAAAATGCTAGCCACACATGCAGGAAGTGATGTCAATGGTGACCTGACAAACCGGAAATGTACATCATGCCTGTGCCTGCTCTTTCAAGAGCAATCCTTTTTACCTCCTCTTTCCCGCACACCCTTGTAGTTTACTCGTTTATAGATTTAAGGCTCCTGTCCTGTCAGGCCTGTGCTGTACACACCGTATTTACTATTTACTAGTTACAATAAAGCAGTTTTGGTACAACCAGGTTCCTGAAGATTTCAAGATCCTCTCAGTCACCCTCTCACTCACCCACAAATCACTTCATGCCCTGGTACCTCCGTGGTCCTCAAACCTGCTCACACCCCACTCCCCTATCCATCTCTGGCCTTCTGCACATCACTCGTCCCCTCTGCTCCCCATCGTTCTATCAGCTACTACGCCCCAAAACTCTGGAACATCCTGCCTCAATCCCTCCGCCTTGTCCCCTCTTTGCCTGTCTTTAGATTGCGCCTGAAGACCTCCCTCTTCGACTGTCCCTAGGATCACCTCTCCTTTCTCCCAAGCTCGACATCAGGCTCTGCCGCTGTTAATCCTTCCCTGTGTGCAGCGGGCTCTATAAATGCCAGTCTTTTAAGATTTAAATCAAAATTTTGTATTGCGTACAATATACTGGATTATAGACAATTACCCGGCCTGACATCAACCTCAGCTCTGACAACACTTACTTCTTGGGGCCTTTATCCTCTGCAAATCTTCTTCACTCTATAAACACAAAGGAGAAACTACAACAACAAATGACATTTACAGTTACACAGCACCTTTCACGTTGAGAGGACGGCCCAAGGCGCTGGACAGTCATAGATTTGGACCCGACCTGGGGGTTGGAATCAGGAAGGGTGGAAGGCAGGGAGGGTGTGGTTAGGAGGGTGACTGAAGGCACGGTCGAAGAGGAGGGTCTTCAGATGGGCCTTGAAGGAGGCGAGGGAGGGAGCGAGGCGAAGGGACTGTGGGATGGAGTTCCAAAGGGTGGGGGACAGAGAAGCTGAAGGCCTCACCATCGATGGATGGTGAGGCCCCGCGGGGGGAGGTGGAGCAGGCTGGAGCCTGCTGAACAGATGGAATGGATAGGTCAACAGCTATTTTACACAATACTCAACAACAACAACCACAAAATGACATTTATAGATCCTTTCACGTCGGGAGGACATCCCAAAGCGCTAAACAGTCAGATGTCAGGGCCCGAGCATGGGGGAGGGGTGGTGTACGGGGGAGGGGTGGGTTAGGGGGGGAGGGATGAGAGGAGGCAGAGAGGTGGGCGGGCGACCAAAAGCACGATTGAAGAGGAGGGTCTTGAGACCGGCCTTGAAGGAGGCGAGGGAGGAAGCGAGGCGAAGGGACCGTGGGATGGAGTTCCAGAGTGTGGGGGCAGAGAGGCCACCGATGGTAGGGCGGGTCGGATGGGAGACATGGAGCAGCCGGAGCCCGCTGGACGGAGGCAGCGGGCAGGTTGGTAGGGAGTCAACAGGTCAGAGAGGTAGGAGGGAGCAAACCCATGGATGGCCTTAAAGGTAAGGACGAGGATCTTGAACTCGAACCTCTGGGGGATGGGGAGCCAGTGGAGTCGGGCGAGGGTGGGGGTGATGGGTTCACGGAGCCTGGTGAGTGAGAGTACACGAGCTGCAGAGTTTTGGATGATCTGCAACTTGTGAAGGGAAGTGTTGGGAAGGCCGATGAGGAGGGAGTTCCTGTACTCGAGCCTTGAGGTGACGAATGTGTGGGTGAGGGTTTGGGGGCCTGAGGGGTGAGGCAGTGGCAGAGTCTGGCAATGTTGCGGAGGTGGTGGTAGGCAGTGCCGGTCATGGCGTGGATGTGGGGTTGAAAGGACAGCTCAGGGTCGAACAAGACACCCAGGTTCCTGATTGGCTTAGTGAGGTTGAGCCGTGCAGCTGTCCACGGTGTCAAAGGCGGTGAGAGGTTGAGGAGGATGAGGAGGCAGAGGGAGCCCTGGTCACACATGATCAGGATGTCGTTTGTGGCCTTGACCAGAGCAGTTTCCATGCTGCGGGCAGCACAGAAACCCGATTGGAGGGGTTCATGGAGGGAGTGAGAGGAGAGGAAAGAGCGAAGCTGGGAGGCAACGGCTCTCTCAAGGACCTTGGAAAGGAAAGGGAGATTTGAGATGAGCCGGGAGCTGGATAGCTATAATGGGTCAAGGGAAGGTTTCTTCAAGGTGGGGTGATGAACATATATAAAATTATATAAAAGTCGAAAGGTTCATGATACTAGGCACCGAGCCAGTAATATTCATAGATCGTACCAGCTCCCTGATTCTCTTGTGCTTTACATAGCTTCTTACTGTTTTCTTCAGATGACTGGTGAAGTCAAATAAGGTGGGCACCGCATCATCCTTTAGGATCATTCTGTATGGCCTCTGCAAAGTAAATCAAATTAAAATGAGCTTTTCACGCTGATTCCCTGCTCACTGGCTTTCCCAAGTCTTCTCTCCACAAGCTTCAGGTTATTCAATAACAACAAATTGCACTTGTAAAGCGCCCTTCACACAGGCTAGCGTCTCAGAGTGCTTTCTGAATTCAGAATTCTGCAGCTCGTGTTCTCTCCTGTACCAGGCTCCGTAACCCCATCACCCCACACTCGCCCGGCTCCACTGGCTCCCCATCCTCCAGAGGATAGAGTTCAAGATGGTCAAGCCCTCCAAGGCCTTGGCCCACCCTCCCTCTGTGGCCTGCTAAAATCATATGAACCCGCCAGCCCCCTCCGATCCACGAGTACTAACCTGCCCCAAAGCCCCCGACCTGCCCACTCCACCATCAGTGGTCGGGCCTTTAGCCTTTCTGCCCTCACGCCCCCTAGAACTCCATCACGGAGTCCTTTCTCCTCGCTCCCTCCCTTGCCTCCTTCAGGGTCCATCTCAAGACCCTCCTCTATGACCACCCCCACCCTTTCTGCCTCCACCCCTCTCAACTCCAACCCCCAGCTCGGATGCAAACCCTTGACTGTTCAGCCCATTGGGATGCCCACCTGACATGAAAGGCCCTACATAAATGCAATTGTTGTTGTTGAATTCATTGCACGCATTTTGTTTTGTTCCTCTATCAAACACCCATTGACTGCGTTCTCGTCTCTGGGCCAAACCCCACGTCAGGAACTCATAGCCTTGGCCCACTGTTCAGCACAGCAATGGAGGAAGGACTGCATGGCTGGAAATGCCATCTTTCAGGGGAGACATTACATTCTCACCTTGCCAACTTAGCGTTTGTTGAAATCAGGGTAATGCAACAACAACAACCAACATTTATGTAGCGCCCCTCACTCAGAGCACCTGCTTGTTAAAATCATCAGCGGATATTTAAGTGGATGTTAAGGTCCCTTAGTATTAATGGAGAAGAGTGGGCAACGATTCAAATAAAGTAATCCTTGAATGTGATATAGCACTTCATCATGTCTCCAATATATTTCAAAACTCTTCACAGAATGTACTGTAAAGTGAATTGAATGTGTATTTTGTGGGCGAAATGTAGCAGCCAATTGTGCACAGCAGTGTCCCACAAACAGTCGTAGTTTGAGTGACTAAATCATTATTATTTTTTTTAAAAAAATTAGTTATTCAATCTGACTGTGAAACTTCTCTGTGTGCAAACTTGCTGCCGAATTTGCCTAGAAATAGTCACTGCAATTAACAACACTTTGATATGTTTTTATGTTAAAGGCACTATATCAAATGCAAAGGATTAATGAGATTATAACAATAATAATCCCTGCATTTGATAAGCACCTTATCAAGTCATGAAGCTGTCTCAAAGCGCTTCACAGCTCTATTCAGTATACAATGAATGAAACTAACCAGCCTCAAAAAGTGAACAATAATGTCCATTTACAGGTCCAGTCACTGCCACAAATTAAAAACTCTCCTCATATGCGAGAGATCTGGTTTAGTTAGAATACTATCTGTTCCCCCCCACACTATACCAACTGAACAGAGTTCCGTTCTTACATTTGTGCAGATCAGGGATGTTTCAAAATGCCGCGCACACAGCCGGTACTGTTTGTGAAGCTGTTCAGAAGACTTATCCTCTAAATCTGGTCTCCGACAATTCTCCACCCATTTCCTGCACCTGCGTTCAAAAACAAAGATAAATTTGTAATACTGTTCGCACACACAGTTTAATTATCCAATAACTGGTAAACCGTTTGCAGCTAAATAATAATCAGTCATTTTATATACAATGGTACGTTTCACATTAGGAACAACAACAACAACAAGATTCCATTTATAAAGCGCCTTTCACGTCAGGAGGACGTCCCAAGGGGCTGCACAGTTGGGTCATGACCCGAGCATTGGGGGGAAATGGTCAGGGAGAGGGGAGGGAGCGAGGAGGGGGAAATGGTCAGGGGGAGGGGAGGGATGGGAGGGAGCGAGAAGGGGGAAGAGAGTCGAGAGGGGAGCTGAAGGCTCGGTCAAAGAGAAAGGTTTTGAGACCGGCCTTGAAGGAGGAAAGGGAGGAAGCGGCGAAGGCACTGGGGGATGGAGTTCCAGAGCCTCGGGGCTGAGAGGCTGAAGGCCCGACCACCGATGGTAGGGCGGTTGGGGCGGGGGACGTGGAGCAGACCAGAGCCAGAGGATCGGAGGGTACGGGCAGGTAGGTAGGGGGATAGTAGGTCAGAGAGGTAGGAGGGAGCGAGGCCGTGAATGGCCTTGTAGGTGAGGATGAGGATCTTGAAATCAATCCTCTGGGGGATGGGGAGCCAGTGGAGGCGAGCGAGGGTGGGAGTGATGTGATCCCGAAGCCTGGTGCGGGACAGTACACGAGCTGCAGAGTTCTGAATGACCTGCAGTGTGGAGGGAGGAACAGTGGAAGAGGAAAATCTTGAGGCATGATTTGAAGATGGGCAAAGATGGGGCCAGACAGAGGGATTGAGACACAGGGTTCTAGAGATTGGGGCGTAGTGACTGAAGATGGAGCAGAGGGGATGAGGGATGTGCAGAAAGCCTGAACCAGGTGAGCGGAGGTGACGGGGAGTGGGGGGGTGAGCAGAGGAGAGGTAGGGAGTGTGAAGCCATTCGAAAGTGAGAATCTTGAAATCTTAAATGCAGAAGAGCACAGAGGACGAGAGGTAGTGCCGCGAGTGCGTGTGCGCACACATTCAATTCAAAGCACTGCAAACCAGTGAATGAATACAATCCTTGCATTTGAGTATTGCCTTATCACCATGTTGAGACATCTCAAACAACAACAACAACAACAACAAGATTCCATTTATAAAGCGCCTTTCACGTCAGGAGAACGTCCCAAGGCGCTCCCAAAGTGCTTCACAGGATATACTGTAAAGTGGTTTGACTGTATTTTGTGTATGGTTGGGGGAGGGAGGAAGGAAAGACACAGGAGAGAGAGACTCCGACAACAGCCACTGCTGTACCTGAACAGCGCTGGGACCAAGGTACTAACGAAAAGGGTAAATAGAACTGTAGAAAATGCTTTAAACCAGTAAGGGGTTGGAGTGGGTGGGGGGGAATGGAAGCCAAACATAAGGCAAGGAGAGGATGAGAGCAACGGTCAGAGTACAAATAGTGATCAAGACATAAATACTACAGGAAAGAAAAAGGTAATAAGAAGTTATCACAAAAGGTATAACAAGTCAGAAAGTGTGAGAAGAAGATCGTCAGGGCGTATAGGCATGTTGGGGACAGTTACCCAAATAAGAGTTATTTATACAAATACACATAGCATAAGAAACAAAACAAATAAGTTAGAAATACCAATTCAACTTAAAGGGTATGATGTAGTAGCCATTACAGACACCTGGTTACACGCTGGGCAGGACTGGGAGCTAAATATTCCAGGCTATAAGATCTTTAGAAAAGACAGGGACATTGGGAAAGGAGGAGGAGGAGGAGCAATATTGATAAAAGATACTATTACAGCAGTGGAAAGGGAAGATTTCAGTCAGGGCGATCAGGTCATAGAAACACTGTGGGTAGAATTGAGGAATAGCAAAGGAGATAAGATTCTGTTGGGTGTAGTCTCCAGACCTCCAGAGAGTTGTGATGTTGTGGGGAAATGTATAAATACAGAGATCAGGGAAGCAGCTAACAAACCCAATGTGGTTACAATGGGAGATTTTAATTTTCAAGGAGAACACCTCTGGTAGTAAAGACAGCGCAGGATAGTTTTTTGGAACAATGTTTTAGAACCAACAAGGGAGCAGCCACGGATTGGTGATGAGAAATGAGGCGGAACTAGTCAACAATCTGACAGTAAGGAAACAACTTGCAGTCAGTGATCATAATATGATTGAATTTGACATTGGAGTTGAGAGGTAGAAGGCAGAGTCCCAAACCAAGATTTGAAGTTAAAGTAAGGCAAACTTCGATGGGATGAGAAATATATTGACCACAGTAAACTGGGCTGCACTGTTAGTGGGTAAACCTGCAGATCAACAATGGGAAGTTTTCAAAAATATATTTAATACAATACAGAACCCGTAAAATGCAAACGCTCCCAATCGTGTAGTTGAGGATCCATGTTGGGCACAACAGGTGAGAGACTGTATCAAACTAAAAGGAAAGACTTACTCCAAATGCAATAAAAAGTGGGAATGCCGAGGACTGGGAGAACTACACAAGGCAACAAAGGGAGACAAAGAAAGTAAAAAGGGGAGCAAAAAGGAGTATGAAAAACAACTTGCAATAGATATTAAAACCAATAGTAAAAGCTTTTATAAATAAGAGAATGGTCAAGGGAAATGTGGGCCCGTTAAAGACAGATGTAGGTGAGACTATAATGGAAAATAAGGAAATAGTTGCCTTGTTCAATAAATACTTTGCTACCGTTTTTACAGTAGAGGATGAGGACAAAATACCAGCCATACAGGGAACCTAAAAATAAGTCAAAGTGTAATGTTTAATAAAATTAATATAAATAAAAAAATGGTAATGGAGAAAATAATGACACTCAAGATAGACAAATCTCCAGAACCTGATAGTTTACACCCCAGGGTATTAAAGGAAATAGGAGAGGAAATTGCATTTGTTATAATTTTCCAAAGCTCTCTAGACTCGGGAATTGTGCCCTTAAGATTGGAAAATTGCGAATGTCAACCCTTTATTTAAGAAGGGAGGGAGAAACCAGGAAACTACAGACCAGTCAGCTTAATGTCAGTTGTAGGGAATATATTGGAATCTATCATCAGGGGCATGAGTGAATGAACACTTGGACAGGTATGAGCTAGTCAAAGGGAGTCAGCATGGGTTTGTGAAGGGAAGTTTGTGTCTGACTAATCTGAATCTTTTGAGGAGGTCACTAAAATGGTGGATAAGAGAGTGTCTATGGATGTCGTTTATATGGACTTTCAGAAGGTATTTGATAAGGTTCTACAACAAAGATTATTAGCGAAAATGGAAGCATGGAGTTGGAGGTAACCCCTTGCAACGTGGGTTGGTAATTGGTTAGGAGGCAGGAAACAGAGTAGGGATAAAAGGGAACGTTCTCTGGTTGTCGGGACGTGACAAGTGGTGTCCCCCAGGGATCTTTACTAGGTCCTCAGCGTTTTGGTATATATATATATATATACACACACACATACACATGACTTGGATGAAGGAATAGAAAGTTTTATATCCAAATTTGCAGACTAAGCTAGGAGGCTCAGTAAATTGTCTCGATGGGAGTAGGAAGTTACAAAGGGACTTAGACAGATTAAGTGAGTGGGCAAAGCTGTGGCAAATGGAAGTCAGTGTAGGGAAGTGTGAGGTCATCCACTATGGACTGTAAAAAGATAAGGCAGAATATTTTCTTAATGGGGAGAAACTAAGAACTGTGCAGGAGCAAATAATAATAATAATCCTTGCATTTGCTATAGTGCTTTTCACATCTTCTAGACGTCTCAAAGTGCTTCACAGAATATACTGTAAAGTGAAGTGACTGTATATTTTGTGGGCGAAATGCAGCAGCGTCCCATAAAAGGTAATGGATTGAGTGCCCAAATTATTATTTTTTCTCTTGAGGGATTATTATCAGGCGTGTGGAGTAAGGAAACTTGCCCAAGGTTTCGCCCTGCCGGGAATCAAACCCAGGTCTCTCACTTGCAAGGCGAGTGCTCTAACCACTGAGCTACAGGACTCCACGGAGAGTCCAAAGGGATTTGGGTGTCCATAATCCACAAATCACTAAAAGGTGCAAAACTTAATCAAAAAGCGAATGGAATGTTGGCTTTATCTCAAGGATCCTGGAATACAAATGCGCTTCAGCGTATAGACCGTTGGTCAGACCCCATCTGGAGACTGCGTTCAGTATTGGGCATCACACCTCAGGAAAGATATATTGGCCCTGGAGGGGGTGCGGCGCAGGTTCACCAGAATGTGACCAGGCCTAAAAGGATTTACTTACAAGGAAAGGCTGCGTAAACTTGGATTGCATTCCCTTGAGTTTAGAAGGTTGAGGGGGATTTGATGGAGGTGTTTAAGATGATAAAGGGATTCTATAGGGTAGATACAGAGAAGCTGTTTCCTCTGGTGGGGAATCCAAAAGAAGGGACATAGTCTGAAAATTAGAACCAGGCCATTTAAGAACATAAGAACATAAGAATTAGGAGCAGGAGTAGTCCATTCGGCCCCTCGAGTCTGCCCCACCATTCGATAAGATCATGGCTGATCTTCAGAGTGAAATCTGGAAGCAATTTTTCACTCAAAGAGTGGTGGAAATCTGGAACTCTCCCCCAAAAGGCAGTGGATGCTGTGCGAGGTTGATAGATTGTTGGTAAGTCAGGGCATCGAGGGATATGGGGAATAAGCGGGAAAGATAATTGGAATTGAATGGATTAAAGTACAGATCAGCCATAGGAACAGGAGGTTCGAAGGGCTGAATGGCCTCCTCCTGTTCCTATGTAATTCAATTCCTCTTCAGAAAAATAAAAGCCTTCTTTAAAAGAGTGACTTCCCCCTCGCTGCACAACAATCTTTGAATTTTATATATTACATATACATGTATATTATTAATAATCCTTGCATTTGATATAACACCTTTTCACGTCGTTCAGACATCTCGAAACGCTTCACAGGATATACTGTAAAGTGTAGTAACTATGTATTTTGTGGGCGAAATGTAGTAGCCAATTGCGCACTGCAGTGTTTCACACACAGTCATGGATTGAGTGACCAAATCATTTATTTATGTTTTTGGAGGATTATTAACCCCAGAAAAGTGATCTGCCAATGGACTAATAACCGGGTTCCTACTTACTGCTAGGTAAACAGAGGCGTGTGGAGTTAGGAAACTTGCCCAACATTTCTCCCTGTCCGGGAACGAAACCCAGGTCCTCTCGCTTTCGAGCCAAGTTCTCTAACTACTAGGCTACAAGGATTCCTTATTTTGTAAACGTGTATCTGTATATATATATATATATGTATATGTGTGTATATATATATAAAGCACGAGAGAGAGAAATACCCGTTGCAGCTTCAGGATCCAATATGGAATGTAGATTGACACAGACAGACGTGTGGTCTTTATCTATATTCAGCTGAGACACTTGTGGAAGGACTCCTTGGGAGGGCTCCTATCAAACCTACACTACCCGAAGGGGTTTCCTTTGTGATCGGCAGATCCTCAAGTTATTGCAAGGCAGAAAGACGGTAATACATTTGTGGCAGAATATATTGGTGTAGATGTATATCATTAGAAGGGTGTGTGCTTCCCCTGTGGCTGCTTTGTTACAGAAACCATGCGTTCGCCCACAAATATACAGTCAATTCATTTTACAGTGTGTTCTGTGAAGCGCTTTGGGACGTCCTCCCGACGTGAAAAGCGCTATATCAAATGCAAGGATTATTATTATTCCTCATATTTTGGGCTTAATTAAGGCATTTTTAAAATATAGCTCATCAACAATAGAAGATCCCTGAAACAAAAAATACCCCCCCCCCCCACCCCGATGTGAGGCCTCCCCCACAGGGGTTGGGGGGTATGTGTGTGTGTAACTATACATATATGCAAACGGCTTCTCCTCTAGTCCCCGCACCATCTCGTGCAGTGTTCCTCAGGGCTCTGTCCTTGGTCCCCTCCTCTTTAACATCTATATACACCTCTTGGTGACATCATCCGCAGACATGGGGTCAACTTCCACATGTATGTGGATGACACCCAACTCCCCCTCTCTGCCTCCACCCTTGACTCCAGAACCCATGTCCTGAATGTCTGTCAGACATCAAGTCCTGGATGAGAGCGAACTTTCTTCAGTTGAACGTCAACAAGACCGAGGCTCCTGATTGGCTCCCGTCAGCGCTTCCACACCTCAGGCGCTGACAGCATCACCGTCCATGGGGCTCACTCCCCCTCACTGAGCCGGTCCGGAACCTTGGGATCTTGTTTGACCCTCAACTATCCTTTCTACCCCACATCTGCGCCATGACCCGCTCTGCCTTCCCCACCTCCGCAACTTCGCCCGACTCCGCCACTGTCTCACACCACAGGCCCCCGAGACCCTCACACACGCCTTCATTACATCCAGGCTTCACTATGCAAACTCACTGCTTGTTGGCCCCCCAACTCCTCCCTCCACAGGCGGCAGATCATCCCGAACTCTTAGCCTGTATCTTCTCCTGCACCAGGCTCCGTGACCCTATCAACCCCTCCGACCTACTTCACATCCCCCTCCTCGTTCGCCCTACTATTGGCGGGCTGGCCTTCCGCCACTCTGCATCCACCCTCTGGAACTCCATCCCGTAGTCCCTCCTCCTCGCCCCCTCCAAGACCCTTCTCAAAACCCTCCTCTTCAACCGTGCTTTCAATCTCCCTGCTTCCCCTCCTGCCCTCCAGCCCCTCCCCAACCCCAGGTCCGAAACTCTGTTTGCATTCATAATAAACAATTTGCATTCATAATAATCCTTGCATTGATATAGCACCTTATCACATTGTTGGGACGTCTCAAAGTACTTCACAGAATACACTGTGAAGTGTAGTGATTATGTATTCTGTGGGCGAAACGCAGCAGCCAATTACGCTCAGCAGCGTCCCACAAACAGTCACGGAATGAATGACCAAATTGTTATTATTTATATACTTTGATGGGATTATTACCCCCAGAAAACTGATCCAATCGCCTAACAACTGGGTTCCTACTTAATGCTAGGTAAACAGAGGCGTGAGGAGTAAGGAAACTTGCCCAAAATTTCGCCCTGCCCGGGAACAAAACCCAGGTCCTCTCACTTTTGAGGGGAGTGCTCTAACCATCTGCCGCAATTAGCTGATTTGATCCACTGAACAATCTGCTACAATTTCCCTCGCTAGAATCTTGGGTTGTTTAGTGTGCTGTGTTGTCAAAGCTGTTCCAAGATTTGAAAATACATCAGTGTGAAGTGAGAAGACTTGAATGGCTTCATTGGGACAAGTGGAAACATGCTTAATAATCCTTGCATTTGATTTGATAATCTTTGCATTTGATACAGCCCCTTATCATGTCGTTGCTCTGCTTCTTCAGTCTTTAAAAATCCTTCCCATCTGTGCCAAACTCCCTCGTTTCCAGGAAACCTCTGTCACCTGAGTCTGGCACTTAGTTCACTTAGAAAGCCTGAACCATCAAATGTGGCCTCTCAAAAGGTGTCACGTTCTGCGTTACTCAGAGCTCTAGCCTTGGTCCTCTCCTCTTTAATATCTAACTGCTCCCGCAAGGCGATGTCATCTGGGTTAACCGCTACATGTATGTGGACAAAGTCCTGTAGCTCAGTGGTTAGAGCACTCGCTTTGCAAGTGAGAGACCTGAGTTCAATTCCAGGCAGAGGGCGAAACCTTGGGCAAGTTTCCTTACTCCACACAGAGCCTAATAATAATCCTCCAAAACCACAAACAATAATAAATTGGTCATTTTCAATCTACGACTGTTTGTGGGACATTGCTGTGCGCAATTGGCTGCCGCGTTCGCCCACAGATATACAGTCAATTCACTTTACAGTGTGTTCTGTGAAGCGCTTTGGGACGTCCTCCCGACGTGAAAAGCGCTATATCAAATGCAAGGATTATTATTATTATTATTATAACTATCTCTCTACCCTCGACTCCAGAACCATTACTGTCCTCACAGACTCCACATTGGACACCAATGCCAACAAGACCGAGGTCCTTCTGTTTGGCTACCGTCGGCACCTCCACACCTCAGGCGCTGACAGATCCAATCAACGTGAATGCCCACTCCACATTATAGAGCCAATACTGAACCTTAGTGTCTTGTCTTCCTCTCAACTGTCCTTTAAACTTCACATTCGTTCTCTGACCCTTTCAGCTTTCCTCCCACTCCCCAGCCCAGGCCTCCCCTCCCCCAGCCCAGGCCTCCCCTCCCCCAGCCCAGGCTCCCCTCCCCCAGCCCAGGCTCCCCACTCCCCACTCCCCAGCCTCCCCTCCCCCAGCCCAGGCCTCCCCTCCCCCAGCCCAGGCCTCCCCCCCCCAGCCCAGGCCTCCCCTCTCTTCCCACAGGCCCCCCTGCATCCAGCCCCACCCCCCCCCCACTCCCCCCTCACCTGACGGGGTCTCTGGGGAACCTGAAGAAAGGTACGTCCGGGCACTTTGTGCTTTTCCTGCTGCAGTTCGGGGCCGCGCAGAAATTCGGCATTGTTTGTCCTCCTCCTCTTCCTCACCGCCTCCTCCTCCTCTTCTTCACCCCCTCCTAATCCTCACCTCCTCTTCCTCACCTCCTTCTCCTCCTCTTCATCTCCTCCTCCTCTTCCTCACCTCCTCACTACCTCCTCCTCTTCCTCACCTGCCGCCTCCCGCAGGGGGGCAGTCGGGGCCGCGCGGTGTGTTATTTGGTGCACCAAATGCACAATGCACCCGCCGCCAACAGGACCTCCTGTATCCCACAATGCACCCGCCGCCAACAGGACCTCCTGTATCCCACAATGCACCCGCCGCCAACAGGACCTCCTGTATCCCACAATGCACCCGCCGCCAACAGGACCTCCTGTATCCCACAATGCACCCGCCGCCAACAGGACCTCCTGTATCCCAATGCACCCGCCGCCAACAGGACCCTGTATCCACAATGCACCCGCCGCCAACAGGACCTCCTGTATCCCACAATGCACCCGCCGCCAACAGGACCTCCTGTATCCCACAATGCACCCGCCGCCAACAGGACCTCCTGTATCCCACAATGCAATGTCACCCCTACACAGCGCGTGCAGTCAACACCCGCAGCCAAACAACAACTCAGTCACAGTGTGTGGCGGTGACAGCAGCGCAGGGACCTGTGTAAAGGCCTTTCACGTGGGGAGGACTCACAAGGCGCTGGACAGACAGTGTTTCAGCCCCGAGCCGGGGTGGGGGGGAGAGGGGGAGGGGGTGAGGGGAGTGCTGGGGGGGGGGGAGAGGGGTGGTGATGGGGGGAGTGCTGGAGAGGGCGGGAGGGGAGTGCTGGGGGGGGAGGGGGTGGTGAGGGGAGGGAGGGAGGGAGGGGGGTAGTGATGGGGGAGTGCTGGGGGGGGAGGGTGGTGAGGGGAGGGAGGGAGGGAGGGGGTAGTGATGGGGGGAGTGCTGGGGGGGGGAGGGTGGTGAGGGGAGTGCTGGAGGGAGGGAGGGAGGGGGGTAGTGATGGGGGAGTGCTGGAGAGGGCGGGAGGGGAGTGCTGGGGGGGGAGGGTGGTGAGGGGAGGGAGGGGGGTAGTGATGGGGGGAGTGCTGGAGAGGGCGGGAGGGGAGTGGGAGGGGGTGGTGATGGGGGGAGGGGGGTGAGGGGAGTGCTGGAGGGGGGGGAGGGGGGTGGTGATGGGGGGAGTGGTGGGGGTGGGGGGGGGGGAGTGCTGGAGGAGGGGGGAAGATGGAAATCACAGTCGAAGAGGAGGGTCTTGAGATGGGTCGTTAAGGAGGGGCCGCGGGGACGAGGCGGAGGGACTGCGGGATGGAGTTCGCCTAAACTGAGGGCAGCACCGGCACAGAGTCCGATGCCCAACTGGTGACCGAGGCCATCACTGACTCTCCCGGTCACCAGAGCTCGGCTGCCGCGGGACGTCTAAATGCCTCAGCCTGGACTGACCGCACACTGTCCCCTCTCCCCATGGCGACTCACCCACCTATACCTTCCATCACACTCCTCGGCCTAACCACCGTGCTGGCTCTCATCTCCCGGTCCCCCCCGCTCGGCCTACCCCCCGACTCCTCTGAAACCTTCGCCTCCTTTCAGCACCTTACCCTCCATCAGCCTCCAACCTTTCCTCAAAATTCTCATCTACTGCCCCCCAAGCCCTCCCCCACCTTTATCCCTGACATCTCCTGTTTCCCTTTGCTCTGAACACCTCCTCAACCTCACCTCACTTCACCCCCTCCTGCTCTACCTCCGCTGACTTCTCCCTCAATCTCTTCGCTCCACATCCATTCCGCCACTTACATCCGCGGTCACCCCCTCAACCTGGTGGTCATTCGGGGCCTCGCTATCTCGGACCTCAACATCATCGACAAAGCGATCTCGGACCATCACGTCATCTCCCTTAACTCATCAATCCCTCTCCCCACTGCCACCCAACCCACCTCCATCTCATACCGCCCCTGGAAAAATTCCCCCCCCTCCCGCAATGACCTATCCTCTTCGGTCACTCTTCTCCACTCCCCTCTCTTCCCGAACCATCTCCTACTCACGCAAATCACCCTGGTACACCAACCACCTCCGTTCCCTTAAAGCCCAGGTGTGTTCCCAGAGCGCACCTGGTTTAAATCAAACCACCTTCTCACGCCTCACCCCTCACCTCAAATGCTAACTGCGAGGTGATGTTGGACTTCCTCAAATCCAACATCGAGGGAATCCACTCAGCTGCCTCTGCAACTACTACCCCCTCCCCATCTCTTCCTCCCACCCCAGTCCCTACCCACCCCTCCACACCTTTGAACCCATGTCCCCCTCCTCTCTTATCACCACCATAACCCATATGAAACCCACCACCTGCTCCTTGGATCCCATCCCTACCCCCCTCCTTACCTGTAGCTCAGTGGTTAGAGCACTCGCTTTGCAAGCGACAGTCCTGAGTTCAATTCCAGGCAGAGGGCGACACCTTGGGCAGGTTTCCTTACTCCACACAGAGCCTAATAATAATCCCTCCAAAACAAAACATTAATAAGTTGGTCATTTTCAATCTACGACTGTTTGTGGGACATTGCTGCGCGTTCGCCCACAAATATACTGTCGATTCACTTTACAGTATATTCTGTGAAGCGCTTTGGGACGTCCTCCCGACGTGAAAAGCGCGATATCAAATGCAAGGATTATTATTATTACCTCCCAGCTCCACCTCCTTGCCCCTCTACTTACTGACATTGTCTACCTCCCCCTGTCCTCTGGTACTGTTTCCACCCCTTTAAAAAACGCTGTCATCACTCCTATCAACCCCCCGACTCCTGGACCCTTCTCTACTCTCTAACTACCACCCTATCTCCAACCTCCCTTTCCTCTCCAAAGTCCTGGAATAAGCTGCTGCTTCTCAGCTTCACTCTTTTCTCTCCCTTCTTGAACCCCTCTATTCAGGCTTCTGTGTCGTCCATAGCACAGAAACCACCTTGGTCAAAGTGACAAATGACATTCTGTCCACCTGCGACCAGGGCTCCGCTCCCTCTGCCTCCTCGTCGTCCTTGATCTCCCTGCTGTTTTTGACACAGTCGACCACTCTATCCTCATCCACCTCTCCTCTCACATCAATCTCTACGGCGCTGTCCTTAATTGGTTCAGATTGTACCTCTCACATCGCCTGCACTTCATCTCCTCAAATGGCTTCTCCTCTAGCTCCCGCACTGTCTCGTGAGGCGTTCCTCAGGGCTGTCCTTGGTCCCCTCCTCTTCAATATCTATATGCTCCCACTTGGTGACATCATCCACAGACATGGGGTCAACTCCCACATGTATGTGGATGACACCCAACTGTACCTCTCTACCTCCACTCTCGACTCCAGGACCCACTGCTATCCTGACAGAATGTTTGTCAGACATCAATTCCTGGATGAGAGCTAACTTTCTTCAGTTGAATGTCAACAAGACTGATTTCGTTCTATTCAAATAAAAGTTCCTTCCAGGATTTTGTGAAGTACTTTACATGTGAAGTACTTTATATTGTGAAGTACTTTATATTTCTTCACATTAATTTTCATCTGCCACCGATCTGTCCAATTCCCAGTATGTTCAAATCTTCCTGTAACCTATATTGTTCAGCTTCACAATCTATCACCTTCATTAGCTTGGTGTCATCTGCAAACAGCCATGATGCTTGCGATTCCTAGTTCCAGATCATTTATAAAAATGTTAGAGCTCCCAAAACAGAAACTTGTGGAACTCCATAACCATTGTAATATACCCCTACTGATTCCTGCTTTATTTACTTCCAGTACCAGCTTCTCAAGAAACCGTGTTAAAGGCCTTACTGAAATCCATATATACATCCACAGCCTTACCCTTATCAAGTTGCCTTGTCACACCATCAAAGAATATCAGTAAATTAGATTGACAAGACCTCCTCTTCATAAACCAATATTAGCTATCATTTATGATTTTATTTCTGTCCAGATGCTCCATGATTTTATCTTTAATAAGTGTCTCCATAATTTTACCCACATTGGACTTCAAACTTACTGGGGTCTGTAGTTTCCTGGGTCAGTTTTGTTACCTTTCTTAAAAGTACAAGTAACAACATCAACTTGCCTTTATAATAATAATAATCCTTGCATTTGATATAGCGCTTTTCACGTCAGGAGGACGTCCCAAAGCGCTTCACAGAACACACTGTAAAGTGAATTGACTGTATATTTGTGGGCGAACGCGGCAGCCAATTGCACACAGCAATGTCCCACAACAGTCGTAGATTGAAAATGACCATTTATTATTGTTTTTGGTTTTGGAGGATTATTATTAGGCTCTGTGTGGAGTAAGGAAACTTGCCCAAGGTTTCGCCCTCTGCCTGGAATTGAACTCAGGTCTCTCACTTGCAAAGCGAGTGCTCTAACCACTGAGCTACAGGACTCCACGCCGGGCGGCGTCTCAGAGCTTAACAATAGCCAAGACCGAGCCAGGGGGATGGCGAAAGTGACAGTAAGTGCGGTCGAAGAGGAAGGCCTTCAGGTGCGACCTGAAGGTGGGGAAGGAGGGGGCGAGACAAGGGGGTTGCCATGTTCAACTCAAAGCTTTTCTTTGCCATTCTGATGCCTTTCTTGCAGTCCTGGCATGCCTTGTGGTATTGAATCCGACTTAATTCTGTGCCATTTTTCTTCATGGCCTTCAATGCCTTTACGATTTGCTTTGTAGCCCCGTCCAACCAGACGGGAGTGCCTTTAAGCTGATACCTTTGTCTCGTACGAGTACACATTGTTCCGTTGCCTTGAGAATCACCTCTTTGAAGGAACTCCGTAGGTCTTCCACTCCCATTGCCATATTTAAGGCTCTCAGACTAGGCTTCACAATTTGAAATTTGGCAGTTTTTTTGTTTGGGATTTTAGAACTTCACCAATTCTTGTGATGTCAAATGTGACTGCGTTGTGATCTTTAATGCTCCTCCACCTCCTCCACCTTTATGTTAGAGACTTGGTCGTCCCTGTTACTCATTATCAAATCCAAGATGTTATCTCCCCTTGTCGGCTCTTTTACAGAGAGTCATAAAACAGACTTCCTTTAACTCTTGAAACCCCTTCCCTATCTTACCAGTAGGCACATTATTATCCCAATCAATTTTGGATAAAATCTCCAACTACAATGGTTGGTCTCTTACTAGTCGCGTTCCTTATCTCATCCCACAGTTCCAGATCGAGGCTGTTACCTTGACATGGGGTCTATATGCGTTTTACTGACACCTTTCACCTTGATGCGTACAATTACAGTACTCAGCTCCCCCCACCCCAGCTCAGACTGCCAAAGCATAAATCACCAGGGCATTGTTTCCCAGTCACTATAGATAAACCTATGGTCAAAATAGGAACAAGATTCCGCCTTTCATGTCGGGAGGACGTCCCAAGACACTGGACAGTGACAGCACTTCAGACCCGAGCTGGGGTTGGGGGGGGGTAAGGGAGGGGAGGGGAAAGGGGGTGTCCGATGGTAAGGTCGAAGAGGCGGGACTTGAAGGAGGCTAAGGAGGGGTTGAGGCGGAGTGACTGGGGAATGGAACTCCAGAGGTTGGGGGCAGAGTGGCTGAAGGCTCTCCCGCCAATGGTGGGGCGGGTGGGTCGGGGGTCATGGAGCAGTCAGAGCCGGCTGAGCGGAAGGAGCGGGCGGGTTGGTAAGGGGTTAGGAGGTGGCAGAGGTAGGGTGGGGCGAGGTCATGGAGGGCTTTGTATGTGAGGATCGGGATCTTGAACCGGATCCTCTGAAGGATAGGGAGCCAATGGAGTCGGGCGAGAATGGGTGAGATGGGGTCACGGAGTTTGGTGCGGGAGAGGACAAGGCTGCAGAGTTAGTTCTGGATTATCTGCAGCTGTGGAGGGAGAAGTTGGGAAAGCCGACAAGCAGGGAGTTTGCATAGTCGAGCCTGGAGGTGATGAAGGCATGAACAAGCAGAAATAAAGTTTAACATGTAAATGCAGTGAGTTTGGTAACAGACAATGCTGTTTCACAACCGACAGTAAGTGCGTTCCGATTACTGTAAAACTTCCATAAGTCTGATCTGTATAAATCGTTTAACCACCTAAGTCGTACATCTGCCCAAGTGCCGTTCAATTTCCTATTAAATCCACTTAAATATATTGTGTTAACATTCGCACAGCTCGTAATACCGCTACCAAACTTACCAGCTGCTGGCTGACTACCTCAAACAGATGCCATATTCACTTCCTAACACTCTCCCTCCCTTCCTGGGAGTAACAGTAATATCATCGCACAAGGTGGGGGGAAAGCATCAACTGATCACGTGCAGGGGGTGAGGATTAACTAATAAGGTGGAGAAGGAAGAGGATGGTCACCACATGCACTTACTGGCCTTGAAGCAGTCACGCAATGCAGTGCTCCCTGTGAGACATTTGAGATGTCTTCGAGATGCTCTAAAACGCTTCACAGGATACACTGTAAAGTGAGTGGACTGTGTGTTTTGTGTTGGAAACGCGGAGCTAATTGTGCACAGCAGCGTCCCACAAACAGTCGTGGATTGAGTGACTAAATCATTTTTTTATGGAATTTTTACCCCTGGAAAAGCGATCCGCCAATCGAATAACAACCAGGTTCCCACTTACTGCTAGGTAAACAGAGGCTTGTGGAGTAAGGAAACTTGCCTAAAGTTTTGCCGTGCCCAGGAATTGAACCTGGGTCCTCCTGCTTGTGAGGCGAGTGCTCTAACCACTACACTACAAGACTCCAACACAAATTAGTGTCAATGACCTATCAGAAGTACCAGATTCTCCAATTTTGCGAGATAAATCCTGAAATGAACAGGAAGATTGCCTCCAAATGTGATTTGAAGCCACAGACTTCAAATGATTACCTCTAGAACAAGAAGAACATTGATCATTCCAGTTCAGTATTTGTGTATTTGTTGGTCATATAAAATCCAATTTACACATAACTTTACATCAGTCATAGACGATATGATGCAAGTTTCACTTAACACATTACTTTGTGTAAGTCATATTAAATGTGGTGTTCCCAACTGATAACCACTTGTGTGAGCTTTACTGTTGACAACATCAGACAGAGGAGGAAACCAAAATAAAGAGGAATGATTAGAGTCCAGAATGGGTTATAAAAAGGGAACCACCATAACATTTTAATCTCCTTACCCTCTGAATTAACCATCTTGGGAAAGAACGAACAGGACTCCTTAAGAGTTGGCCACAAGATTAAAACAATGAGCATGAGATTATGAACAACAGCTGAAAGTATGACAACAAAATGCTTTACTTTACTGCAACTTCTGAACTATTTACATTACTTACACCAGGAACGGGCGTTTCTGAATTGTTCACGTCTGTACTGTTCACAGCCGGACTGTTACCCCCCAAAGTGTCTGTGGTGTGTTTGTCCACACCCTGGGAGCTCATGCCCTCGATGTCTGCCTCTATAGGGAGGTTCTCCGGCTTTTGCTCGCACTCTATAGCTTCCTCAGAGTGATAGGCGTCCGGCTGAACAGCGTCCCCTGTCACACGGGTCTCCTGATTAACGCAGTCTTCTATTGCTTGAGGGTCCAGTGTAACAGTGCCTTCAGTGGAATAGGTGTCCAGGGTATCTCTGTCCCTCACACAAGTGTCTGGATTAATAGTATCCTCTGCCAGGCAGATGTCCGGGGTAACTGTGCCACCCTCCACACAAGCGTCCGGGGTAACTGTGCCACCCTCCACACAAGTGTCCGGGGTAACTGTGCCACCCTCCACACAAGCGTCCGGGGTAACTGTGCCACTCTCCACACAAGCGTCCGGGGTAAATGAGCCACTTTGCACACAAGTGTCCAGGGTAACTGCGCCACCCTCCACACAAGTGTCTGGGGTAACTGTGCCACCCTCCACACAAGTGTCTGGGATAACTGTGCCACCCTCCACACAAGTGTCTGGGGTAACTGTGCCACCCGTCACACAAGTGTCTGGGGTAACTGTGCCACCCGTCACACAAGTGTCTGGGGTAACTGTGCCACCCTCCACACAAGTGTCTGGGGTAACTGTGCCACCCTCCACACAAGTGTCTGGGGTAACTGTGCCACCCTCCACACAAGTGTCTGGGATAACTGTGCCACTCTCCACACAAGTGTCCGGGGTAACCGTGCCACCCTCCACACAAGTGTCCGGGGTAACTGTGCCACCCTCCACATAAGTGTCCGGGGTAACCATACCACCCTCCACACAAGTGTCGAGGGTAACTGTGCCACCCTCCACATAAGTGTCCGGGGTAACTGTGCCACCCTCCACATAAGTGTCCGGGGTAACTGTGCCACCCTCCACACAAGTGTCCGGGGTAACCATACCACCCTCCACACAAGTGTCCGGGGTAACCATACCACCCTCCACACAAGTGTCCGGGGTAACCATACCACCCTCCACACAAGTGTCCGGGGTAACCATACCACCCTCCACACAAGTGTCCGGGGTAACCATACCACCCTCCACACAAGTGTCCGGGGTAACCATACCACCCTCCACACAAGTGTCCGGGGTAACCGTGCCACCCTCCACATAAGTGTCTGGGTTTACAGTATCCACTGCTGGGCAGACATCTGGGGTAACTGTGCCATTTGTCACGCAAGTGTCCGGGGTAACTGTGCCACCCGTCACACAAGTTTCTGGATTAACAGATCCCCCCTCCACATGTGTGTCCAGTGTAACAGTGCCCTCTATCACACAGGTGTCCGGCGTAGCAGTTTCCCCCTCCGCACAGTCCCCCCCTGCAGTGATGTCTGGTATAAAGGTACCCTCTACCACAAAGGACTCCGAGTTAACAGCGCCGCCTATAGCATGGGCATCTGATTTATCACTGACCTCCCGCGGCTGCAGTTTTACGACTTGCCCCACAGGACATTCCTGCATTTGTACAATGCTCCTTGCCAGACATTCCTGCAATTGAACCACGCTCCCTGAGGAGCATTCCTGCAATTGAACCATACTCCCTGCTGGACATTCCTGCAATTGTACAATGCTCCCTGCAGGACATTCCTGCAATTGGACCAAACTCCCCGCATGGCATTGCTGCAATTGAACCACGCTTCCTCCCGGGCATTGCTGTAACTGAACCACACTGCCCGCTGGGCATTCCTGCAATTGAACGATGCTCCCCGGCTGACATTCCTGCAGTTGCACCACGCTCCCCGGCTGACATTCCTGCAGTTGCACCACGCTCCCCGGCTGACATTCCTGCAGTTGCACCACGCTCCCCGGCTGACATTCCTGCAGTTGCACCACGCTCCCCGGCTGACATTCCTGCAGATGGACCACGCTGCCGGCCTGGTGATCCTGTAACTCCACCACGATGCCCGTTGGCCGCAGCTGTAACTCAATGACGGTGCCCACAGGGTGATGCTGCAGTTCCACCATCTGTCCCGCGAGGTGGTGCTGTAGCTCGATCACACTTCCTGCCAGATGGTGCTGGGTGACCTCCAGCCCCCCATCCCCGGACACCCCCACACTGTGTCCCTCTGCCTGGCTCCCCAAGTGCTCAGACACAGCCAGGCCGCTCCCCTCGTCACCCTCCACCTCGCTCTCCGCCTGTTCACCAGACGCCTCCACCACACACACTGAAGTGGGAGCTGGAGAACGCACAGCGCCTCCTGCTGGACGTGGGCTCACCTCCACCTCAGTCTCCGCCGTTTGACCAGTCGCTCCCTCCATGCTCTCCACCTCCCTGGGCAGCTCCGCACTGGTGACTGCCATTGGCTTCTGAATGGCGCCCAGCTGGACTCCGCCCTCCAGCTCCCCGTTTCCCGTGGCCACCTCCATCTCCCCGCTGTCCTGATCGCAGGCCTCCAGGAAGTCCAGCACATTAGGCAGTTGCATCTTCTCCGGGTACAGCTTGGCGAAGGTGTCCACCATCATGTCAAAGTCGTGCTTGGCATCATAGTTGATGTGCATGAGGGCCAGGCTGCTGGCTCTCTCCTCCACGGGTGTGGCCTTGAGGTAGGCCTTCAGCCGTCTGCGCCCCACCTCGCTCCTCTCACTGCCCACCTTGATGATGGGCAGGTTACACACGATCTTCAGCAGCGTGTAAACATTGGGGAAGAACTTGATGTCCGGATGCCGCAGAGTGTCAAATACCGTATTTGGCAGCTCCACATCCCGGCTCCTGTGCTTCCACTTGATCCTCCAACAGTGAAGCTCGGCAGAGAGTGTGTCTGGGTTGGGGAGGTCATCCTTGTAAAGATTGGCTGTGATTTCCACTGTGGTGTTGTACTTCAGTTGGGCCATGACAGAGGGCACCAGTGACAGACACTTGAGGGCTTTCAGCTGCTCCTCACAGAACATGCCCTTGACCTCCGCGATCACGTAGTCCAGGAACGGAGTGGTCAGGGCCTCCCTGTAATAGTGATCGGGCGACTCCTCGGACGACCCCTCGGTAACCTGCCTGCGGCAGCGTCTGGGAACCTTCATCTCGATGGCCATCTTGTGGGCCAGGTGTGTGGCTTCCTCCAGCCAGAACTCGTGGTAAACATCCAGATTCTCCCTCATCTCGTTCAGTGAGTGCAGCACAGCTGTCAGGGTGCCCGAGGCAAAGTAGGTGTCTGCGGCATGGCCCTGCAGGTTCTTACCAAAGGCCCTGGTGTAGGCCAGCACGTTCTTCATCACCACCAGACACATGACCATCTCGAAGTCCCTCATGGTGGAGGACAGCATGCTGGCCTGTGTCACCATGTAAGCACTCCACTTGCCACAGATATTGTAACTCACGCCGTCCAGGCAGGTCACCAGCACGTCATACAGATCAGTCAGGAACTCGAAGGTGTCGTGTCTCTCTGTCCAGCTGCCCTGACACACACTCTTCAGCTCCTTGGCTCTCTCGGCTGTGGCCTGGAAGGCCCCGTCGATGCTGGCCTCTAGGGCTGTCTGAAGCTGGGAGGAGAGGCTAAAGAAGGCCTGGACACTGTCCATCAGGCTCAGCACCATGGTGACACTGAATATGGGGGTGGACTTGGCGATCCAGATGTTCAGGGGGTAGGAAGAGCAGGACGTACACAGTGCCTTGGGATACTGCTGTAAGATCTTGCTGGCCAGCGCGTGCTTCTTGTAGGACATGGAGCCCGAACCATTGTACGCTTGGCCCCTGCAGTTGTCCATGTTCAGCCCCCATTTCTCCGTCAGGGTCTCCTGCAGCCGGTCAGCCAGGGCTTCCCCCTCGAGCTCACACTGTATAAACCCCAGGAACTCTTCCCTCAGGCAGTCCATGTCGTCCACAAAGCGCACGTGGAGAGACATGTGGTCCAGGCCCGAGATGTCCACCACCTCGTCCGTCACGATGGAGAAGAAGTTTTCCCTCATCTCCCGTAGCACCTCCTCCCGGATGCACATCTCACAGATGGCCAACAGGTCTCTCTGCAGGTTTTTGGGGCAATACTCCTTGTCCTCGGCCATGGTCTCAAACCGTTTCCTGAGGATCTCGTCACCAGCATTCATCCTGAACTCCAGCAAGGCGCGGATGTTATTGGGGGCGCAGCAGGGGCTGGCTGTGTCCTCACTGCTGCACCCCCCCAGAGGCACGTTTTGCCTGCCCAGCAGCAGCACTGTTTCGAACAAGACTTTGAGAAACTCTTTGTTCCCTTTCTCTTCGGGGGTTAGATTCAAAGACGTGTCCTGAGGGAGCAACTCCTCCCACTTCTCTGCCGGGCTCTCATGGCCGCCTTTGTCCCCGTTGGCTTGGTTGGCGTCCTGTATGCACTGCAGGCCCCTTAACACATCAGCATCATCTGGACCAGGAGAGAGAACAGCTGGTCAACATGATCAGTAAGAGGGAGGGCGCAAATTTAATACCGGTATGGAAATAAATTATTAAAGGGGAGTTTAGAAAATCGAGGGGATGGAATGAGGTGATACAGCATCACGTCAAATGCAGGATTATTATTAGTAGCATTATGATGATTATGTTCTCCCACTGAGCGATCAGTAAGCCCAGCAGAGTGAGGAGGGAACAGAGTGAGTTGGAACAAAATGAGAATTCTCTTAAGGAATTTGGTGAGAATGGAAATTCATAGAATCATAGAATTATACAGCACAGAAGGAGGCCATTCGACCCATCGTGTCTGTGCTGCTCTTTGAAAAGAGCTTCCAAATCAATCCTCCCCCGCGCTCTCCCCATAGCCCTGCAAATTTGTCCTTCCCAATTCTTGAACAAAAGAGAACAAGAGAGCAAGAGAGAACTTCCTTTTAGCAAAAGAGTAGAAATTGTTTCTTGAGCAATGAAGAACTTTTAAAGCAAACAGGTAAAGAAGTCAAATTGGTAGATAGTCACAGGCCAGATGTTAGGGATTAGTTAATTATTTGCTGACAATTTGAAAGTGGTTGTGTCAGAGTCCTACACAAAGGGGAGAATTGCGAGAGCATCACTTGAGCACAGAGCACAGCAGAGTGAGGAGGGAACAGAGTGAAGGAATTCTGTTAAGGAATTTGTCAGGTCCAAAATACAGAAGATAATCAAATAGAATATAGAAAGTACAGAGGAGACCTGAAAAAGGAAATAAGATGGGCAAAGAGATTGTATGAGAAAAGATCAGCGGGTAACATAAAAGGGAACCCTAAGGTATTTTATCAGCATATAAAGAATAAAAGGTCAGTCAAAGGTAGGGTGGGTCCAATTAGGGATCAAAGAGGAAATCTTCCTGTGGAGGCAGAGGGCTCGGCTGACGTACTGAATGAGGACTTTGCATCTGTCTTCACAAAAGAAGAGGATGCAGCCAATGCCACAGTATTGGAGGAGAGGGGAGAGAAATTGGATAAGATAAGAATAAACTGAGAGGAGGTACTAAAAAGGTTGTCAGTGCTCAAGGTAAATAAGTCACCTGGTCCGGACAGGATACATCCTGAGGGTTACTGAGGGAAGTCAGGGTGGGAATAGCAGAGGCTCTGGCCACAATCTTTCAATCCTCCTTGGACACCGGGATGGTGCCAGAGGACTGGAGGGTTCAAATGTTACTCCCTGTACAAAAAGGGGCAGAAGGATAAACCCGGGATCTACAGACCAGTGCCTAACGTCTCTAGTGGGGAAACTTCTGGAGACTATAGTCCGAGACGATATACATTTTCACTTAGAAAAATATGGGTTAATAAAGGATAGCCAACATGGGTTGCCTACAGAACTGTCTGGGAAACAGAAAGCAGAGAGTGGTGGTGAACGGCTGTTTTTCTGACTGGAGGGCAGTGCAGTGGTGTCCCCCCGGGGTCGGTATTGGGGCCACTGCTGTTTGTGATCTATATAAATGACCTGGACTTGGGTATACGGAGGACAATTCCCAAGTTTGCAGTTGATACTAAGCGAGAAAAGGTAGTAAACAGTGAGGAGGATAGTAACAGACGGCAGGAGGACATAGACAGACTGGTAACATGGGCAGACACGGGGCAGATGAGGTTTAATGGGGAGAAATGCAAAGTGATGCATTTTGTGAGGAAGAATGAGGAGAGACAATATAAACCGATGGTACAATCCTAAAGGGGGTGAAGGGACAGAGAGACCTGGGGTTCGTATAGTAAACCTTTGAAGGTGGCGGACAGGCAGATAAAGCTGTTAGAAAGCATCCGGGACACGAGGCTTTATAAATAGGGCATAGAATACACAAGTCAGGAAGTTATGATGAACCTTTATATAAAACACTGGTGGGGCCTCAGGGAGAGACTGTGTTCAGTTCTGGGCCCCACACTTTAGGAAGGATGTCAAGGCATTGGAGAGGGTGCAAAGGAGATTGACCAGGATGGTACCAGGAATGAGGGGCTTCAGTGATCAGGAGAGGCGAGAGAAGCCAGGATTATTCTCCTGGGAGCAGAGAAGGTTAAGAGGAGACTTTATAGAAGTTTTCAAAATGATGAGGGGATTCGATAGGGTGAACAGGAGAAACTATTCCCACTGGCGGGTGGGTCGGTAACCCGAGGGCTCCAATTTAAAATAGTTGTTAAAAGAAACAGAGGGGAGGGGAGGAGAAATGTCGTTACACAGCGAGTTGTTGGGATCTGGAATGCATTGCCTGAAAGGCCGGTGGGAACCGATTCAATATCATCTTTAAGAGAGAAGTAGATAATTATTTCGGGAGGACAAGTTTGCAGAGCTATGGGGAGAGAGGGGGGGAGTGGGGTTGATCAGGGCTATGGGGAGAGAGCGGGGGAGTGGGGTTGATCAGGGCTATGGGGAGAGAGCGGGGGAGTGGGGTTGATCAGGGCTATGGGGAGAGAGCGGGGGAGTGGGGTTGATCAGGGCTATGGGGAGAGAGCGGGGGAGTGGGGTTGATCAGGGCTATGGGGAGAGAGCGGGGGAGTGGGGTTGATCAGGGCTATGGGGAGAGCGCGGGGCTGATTTGGTCTTGAATTGCACAGCACGGCTCACACTCTTAACAGCCCGATTCCGAGCCCAGGGCAAGGAGGTCACCGGCTACAGCACAGCTTTCACGCTGTCAGCAATAACAACACAAACAGTACTTACTTTTGACGTAGACGGTGCTCCCACTGGGCAGAACCACTACATTGGAGGCTGGGCTGGCAGGTCGGGGAGATTTGACGGGCACTATGCTCCCGCTGGGCATCGCTGTGCAGGCCGGAGTAGGGGTGGTGCTGGTGTAGGAATAACAGACAACCACTGGAAGATAGAGGAAAAGTTATACATTATTTTTGTTAAAAAAATGTTTCTCAGCAGGAGTCCATTGGAATGAAAGCAGCCGGACACTGCCATCACTGCGGTCAGGTGGGAAAGCCTGGCATTTGGTGCCCCCATGTGGTGATAATTCTACACCACCGGCAGCGGCACTGAGTCCTCATCAAATTAACACACGACATTTACACAGAGCCTTTCAAGTCGGGAGGCGCTGGACAGTCAGTGATCAGGTACCGAGCTGGGGGTGGGCTCAGGAGGGGTGGAGAGTGGGGAGGGTGGCCGAAGGCGCGGTCAAAGAGGAAGGTTTTCAGGCTCAACCTGAAGATGGGGAAGGAAGGGGCGAGGCGGAGGGATTGGGGGAAAGAATCATAGAGTTTTAGAGCGTAGTGTCTGAAACCGCGGCCACCGATGGAGCCGAGGCCACAAGGGACGTGCAGCGGGTCAGATGGAGCCATTCGAGCTGAAGCAGCGGGTAGTGGGTAAACAGATGGGAGAGGTAGGGAGGTGCCGGGGTATGAAGGGGTGTGAAGGCGAGTGAGACATTACCTTCCTTGTTGCCGGTG